GACAGCCCAGCCGCGTGTCCAGAGCCCGCAGGCAGCAGCGCGCCCTTCCCGGCCACGTTACACCCCCCCACACACACACCCACACACACCGCGGGGGCAACTTTCTCTACCCCGCGGGGTCTCGCCTGAGCAGCTCCCTCCCGCGCAGTGAGAACTATCAGACAATAATCCCCCTCCCTCCCTGTCTGATCACCACACACAGGGGGCCGTTCTTGGCAGACCTTTCCCTCCAGTTGTTCCTCATTATGACTGATCCCTCAGAGCGACTGCCTGCAGTGACCGTAGATCTGGCAGGGGAAGTTGCTACATAGCGCAAACACTTCTCCAAGCCTTTGGGGAGGGTCTGGGCAACTAACCCCCCCTCCCACCCCTTCAAGTTCTTCAAACGCCCTACAACTTCTTCTGCTAAGCATCATTAGAACGACTTGAAAGCGATGTCTCTCAAAAGATCTCTTTGTTTGAAGGACAAGCACACTTTTGAGAGCTGGGGTGGAGGGGGATCTCACACACAGCACGTTGTGGTGTCTTATAATTCCCCAGGCCGCCAAGATGTGCCGACCACTCTTGTTTTAAAAGCAGTGGATGTAATGAGGAATGAATGAATGAAAAGCTTCTAGGCTTCAGTCCCTCCTTCCCAGCCCTCACCCCAAACCCGACACAAAATTAGCCCTTGCGCAAAGCAGCTCCTCCAAGGTGGTCGCTAGAAATCCAGGCAGCGTCTTCTCTTTTCAGCCCGCTCTTCTAATTGCCCCAAAGATGCCTTCTACAGCTGTGCTAGGAACTTGGCTGATGGGCTGCTCAGCGGTATTACTCACCAGATCAGCACCTACTGCGTGGCGTTCCTGAGAAAAAAGGCTGGGTAGTGACTCAGAGGCAGATACACCAATTTATACTTCCTGAGGGCAGCGGCAGTCCCAGGCTCCTGAGGGACAAGCTAGCCACCTTTTCCTTATTTGGTAGGCTTCACTCCATTGAGTAGCAGAGAAGCCATTAATGGAGTAAGGGAAGGCAAAAGTCAGAGTAGGCTACAGGGCCCAACAGGCCATGTAAGGAAAGCAAGGGGGTGACATTCTAACAGCAAATGGGATGGCCAAATAGGGAGATCCTGTGAACAAATCATGCATACTTGTTCTGGAGGCCAATATTTTTAAAAAGATGAATGAAAGAAGTGTTCTCTCTTGCTGTTTTAAATAACCAGAAAGCTGAGAAAGATCAATGAATTAAGCTCTAGTTGCCATAGTGTCTGGCATGTGTGACTGCAGCTTGGGAAATAACTGGGACAAGTGATGGGTGACATTTAAAGGAGATAATAGTTGGACCATTAATATCAAAATGCATTTGTTTGGGGATGGTTGCGCCCTTACTTTTATATTGAAACTGATAATATCCCCACTATTGAAAAGACAGCAGGTGAGCAGGCCGATGTGTGAGGCTGTCATTGGTAGCTACAATCTCAGGTTTTGCTCTTGGGAAAAAGGCAGAAGACATTTGCTCCCTGCATTGCTTCAGCAAGAAGCAATGCACATTTTAATTGTCTCTAAACTTTGGTTAATACACATAGGAAAAAAATTGTGCCCTCCTTTGCTTTTGGTAGGCAATGGGCAGTGAAAGCAGTATCTGTTGGCTTACAATACCGCATATATAAACTCCCCATTTTTGTACTTTTAGTGCATACTGAATCAGTAATGCATAGTGATGTGTGAGGGAGGGAGGGAGAGATGGAAACAGCTTGAACAAAAGCAGCCATGGTATTAATGTAATGTGGCAGTTGTTTTCCTGCTCTGTTGCTGAAACATCCACATTGATAATTTGTTCCAGCAGTGAAACCTAGAAGATCCATATATCTTAAAGGGTTTTTTTTCGGTTAAAAATAGAAAGACTGGAGAGGCATCCCTTGAGTGGGTTTGGCCTGGTATGTGAAGGCACAGATTGTCAACGAGTTTCCTAAAGGAACTTTATTATACTGCAGAGTAGTGTCCTTCGGGAGCTCAGCTTGTAAACTACCCAGACATGTTAATGTCTGCCTACGCTGCTCACTCTTGGGAAGTAAAATCTGAGCCCAAGGGAAAGGGGCGGAGGGCAAGAGAAGTAGCAGCAGCTCAGCCAGATCAGTCACTCAAATACAAATCTTGTGCATGAAACATATTAGATGCTGATAAGGATCACTTCTATCAAACACCCATGTATATCTTAAAAGATGTGGGAAGAAAGAATCTTTGAGTGTAATTTGTAGTCTGCTGCAGCTTTTCTGTGCTGTCTTTGCACCGAGAAATGGCCTCAACAAAAAGTGTGAGTGGAAATTACAGAGGATCCATACTATTCATTTCTATATTGTACTTCAAGGAGGTGGCAGAGACTCTTGCACTTTAAATTTCTCCTGTAGAGATAATAGATGCAACAAATATTGTGTAATAGCGTAAGTAGTTAATCAGAAGTTTAGCTCTGGCTAACCTACTTGTACCAGCCCCTCCCCAGCTCATCTTGGGGTTGTGCCCATTTATGAACATTTTTTTTTAAAGATATTGCAACAATCATCTTAGCCGCAGTTGGCTGCAGCTTTATTCTAAAACCTTTGAAAAGACCCACATTGTTTCAGGTGAGACACAATGACAATTTAAAAAAAATATACTTAAAACTAGCCCAGATATATATGAAAGGATGGTTCAAAGCTATAAATTACAATGACAGAAAGAGGTCATTGAAGTGGAGGGCTAGGCTTCACATACTTCTGCTTTAGGAATCAGAGAGAGAGACAAACTTCACATGCATTAAATTTATTGGAATTTGGTGTAAAAATTAATCAAATATTGGCATGACAAGGCACACAAAGTGAGTATAGACAAATACTTTACATAATTATAAATATTTAAATATGTTTATATATTTATCCATCAGTGTATATATGATATATATAGGCTATAGTGTGCGGAAAGGGTGTGGTTTCAAATTAGTAATGTGTTTAATACTTCATTTTCCATTTTTATTACATTTCTGATTCAATGGCAGCTTCCCACATGTAATGTCTAGTTGTTCTTGTCCAGTTTTTCCTTCTTCCTAAAGTTCATTTTTTCTGCAGAAACTGAATAACGCTGGAGATTGGCCTTTTTCACCAGCAGTAAAGATTAGCCTACAGTGTTATCTCAGCTGTCCTTCCATTCAGAGGTGTTACAGTATTTACATAGAAGTCTGTTACTGATAGCCACTTTGAATTCCTCCAATCTCAGACCCTCCCTGTCACATCCTATGTTCCATTTGGCTGGAGAAAAAATGAGTGTGTCTGAAAACTGAGACAAATAAAGACAGCACTTGTGTGCAAGACTTACCAGGGACAGTTGGTCCTACGCCGGACCTTTCCTGTGCATTTCATTTTTAAACATATATCTGCTTTCATTCCTACTTGCTCAAATTATAGTTTTCTAATTAAAACACAATAGGACTTGAAACTAGAATACTGATGTCCTTGAAAGCTAAAAAAAAAAAAAATCTTTCTCCTTACTGTACATGACAAGGTCAAAGGAAAAGGGAACCATGCAGTGTATTGAATCAAAACTGGCATCTGTTTCCTCATAACCATTTCAAAAGTACCCAGATAAATTCATTTCTTTGGCCAAAATCATCCTTCTGTCTGCCAAAAATTTAAAGTGACATTACAACAGCAAATAAATCAACAAACAGCAGCAAAACCCAACATCATCTGGGGTTGAGGGGAAGTCCAGAGATTGAAATCATTAGTCTCTTTACCTGTAGGATACATTTCTTATGAACCACCCACAGCCCACGCAGTATATTAGAGGTAAAAGAAAAGCAAACAGAAGGGATTAGTAGATAGTGGAAGGAGCTGCAATAGTGATCGTTCTTCACATATCTAACTAAAAATGGGTTTGTCCTTCAGAAATATTAAGACTGTAGTTTTTAAGAAATGTTAATGGGGAAGCACACGTCTTTTCATTAGCAAAGTTGTGACATATATGCAGAAAGGCAGCCACTTCATTTCTAAAATCACAGCATCTTAGAGCTGCTTTGTGGAGCAAGTCTGCTTTCTTGATACAACATTCAAACCAACTGGAAGCAATCAGTATGCAAACAGTGGATTATTAGCTCTTCCATGCTAAAAAAACAAGATTATAAAGTGGTGATAGTTCAGATGCCTAGAATCTCCTAGTCACTTTAGTATTTTAGGTGAAGGAAAGATCAACAGGAAAATACAGCCCTAATTCTGCAAGCACTTTCTACCAAGTATAGTGTTTATTGCCCTTAGGAATTCAATGCGATTATTTACAACAGTAAACACTGCATCTAATAAAAGATTTTGTTGGCACAGGCCACCCTTTGTACATATATTTCGCTGACTATCAGCTTATTCTTTAGATTACATATAGATGTTATAGATCATAGGTGCCAATGAATCCTTCCTATCACACTAAACTGCTAAGGCAACGTGCAATATTTCACAGAAGTTCTGTTATAGAACTGTTTTTTTGGAAGTTTTAAACATGTTATTGGTACAATTGTTGCATCCTTTCCCCTGTAAAATCACTAGTCTTAGTTATAGTGAAACCCACTGTGCAGACCTCTGTGGGGGAGAAAAATTATAACTAATATATTTTAGAAACAAACAAAAATATATTTAATACCTGTTACATATGAAATATCACCATGATTTTAAAGTCTAATATCTCGTAATCTACTGGGGTTTGGAACAAAAGC